ACAGTGCTTGGAAGAACTCTACTCCCACTTAATTCTCCAGGACTTAAAACTCTCCATGTATTTTTATATGCACTCAAAAGACAAGGTCAGGCTCCCCTTCCTTCTCCCTACTGCATGCACTACTGCATTAGTGCAAGCATTACCCAAGACTGTTCTTCCTCCCCCTCCATTTGGATTTAACTCCTATGCAGTAACAGGAGATGCAGTTTAAAATATTTCACAATTAGGAAAAAAAACCCAACAAGACAGGAGTGTAGAAACACATTAGTATGTCTATCAAGTCCTCAAACAGGTCACTTGTGGAACATCACCCACTAGCATGAGATGGTTTAACTCTGACCAAGAAAGCAGAAACAATTTTGGTGGCAGAGAAGCTGCTCTTTTGCAGCACATAGGGAGGTAAAGGTAGGAGTTTACAGACCAGCACAGTACTCTGTCCCAGGGAACTAACATTTACAGAGATACGTACAAAAGAAAAAGGACACAATGTTAAAACCAGGCACAGTTGTTATATTTACACATCTAACACATGGCATGCCTTTGAATTGGTGAAGAGGTAACAAGGAACTCAGAAGCCAAACAGGGACATGACACAATCAATAAAATAGTGGGATGATGATGACAGCAATAACAACAACAAAAAAAATCAGACACATGCAAATCTTCATCATGCACCTAAAAATTACACAGATCTGATGCTCCACTAGGGTGCCTGGCAGAGCTCAGCTGAAATCAATAGGTCTGCACTTACGACACAAGCAGAGCATATTGCTCAGTGCTACTGCTTAGGAGTTTTGCTCTTATTTATTTCTAGGCTACTTGTCTTAATGCATCTTTGCATAAAACACCTCATGCCTAACTTAAAGTTATGTTTTTCTTTCAGCTCAGTCTACCGTTTTATTCACTGTTGGTCTCGCCTCTTCACCTTGTTAAGTGTTCTCTTGCTTCTGGCCATCGAATAGTTCCAAAATTGCTGTTCTTTGCTCAAAAAAATACTGCTATTGTAACAAAACCTAAATTAAAAGGCTCATGTCATGAACAAGGGCAGACTGCAAGTGGCAAAAGGCCAAATAAAAAGAGGGAGATTTGTTACTTTTCCTTCCCAAGAAGATTAAGAAAAATATACAAGATTTAAAATATTGTTCCACCCTTTTTCCCTGGTGTATGAGAACAAGAGACTCCCAGAGTCCCTCTAGATCTCTTCTCAGAAGAGCCTACATAAAATTTGTAGAGTTTCTTGCATGACTAACAGAGATACTGATGATGTCATTGCCACCTCTCTGGATCACATCTGTCTCACAAATTGTTATTTCTTGCTGGCAGCCTCACAGTACAGGTAAAAACTCTGTTTAAGATCTCACTGGGAAAAATGTAGGTGGTATAAGTAACTGGCATCTTTGTTACCTCACCAGAAAAGACCCAGAGATGTAGGTCACCCTCCCCTTTCAACCCCTCAAGTGCTCCTTTTCAGATAGGGTGGTTGAGAGGGAATATTTTTCCTGCACCCATATAAAAAGTTGTCTGCAAGGCCCATGTACTTCTTAAAGGAGGAGGAAAAAGAAACAGTGGAATCATAAATGCGTGAACTTACATCTCCCAGAGACCCTCACCTTCCTCATACATGTGGTCTTCATCAAATCAGAACGTTCATGGAGCAGAGACCTTGTTTGCCTCAGGGCATGTAAAAAGCACCCAGGAGAAAGCAATGTTTCAGTGGTATCAGTTCTCTTAAGAATGATACAAATAAGCTTTTCCTTCTCTACCCTGCATCTCTACTGTCTGCAAAAACAAAACAAATAAAATGGAAATAAACAGAAGTTTCCTATGCCAACAAACCTCTCCACACAGGTTTTTTTCCTGACTAGTGAGACTCCAGGAAAGCTAAGGAAAGATTACCAATACTTGCTGTGCATGGAAAGGGCCAGACACCAGGGTAAACAGAGGCACAACCAAAACGTCTAGTGCTGCACCCAAGTGCAGGACAAGGTGTCACACCCCAAAGGGCTGATCTTACTGTCCTAACCCTTTCACAGCTCACTAATGTTGAAGATGTTAAATGCAATGTGAAAGAAAAAGACAATAGGACCATCCCTGAACTTAACAAAAATAAAGAAAAAACCCATCCAAAATCAGTCTGCACATCAGGAGTGACATATTTAAAGATTTCACTGTTGACGTTAACAGTGACATTTTAAGCATGGAGGGGGAGCAACAACCCCTTCAAAAGATCAGCAGCCACTTTCAATGATACTGAAACAACACATTGAAAAAAAAAATAATTCAAGACTGAAGAGCCTTTAATGCCCTTTTGAGTATTGAGGAACAGCAGTAAACAAGGTGCTGATATACTCTCCACTGCGAACAACATCAGTGCTGAGCCAAATGGGATGAGCCCCAAATCAGAGTGAAATTTCAATGCATGAAGTTTAACTGTAAGATAAGGGACTGTAATCAAATTACACCACAAATAGGTCCATTCATCCCTAAGCATTATCACAGAGAGAGGATTGAATTACAGCTTGGAATAAAACAACATAAGAAATAAAAAGCAAATTTATTATCTATTTATTATTTTCCTCCTGCAAAAGATAATTTCCCACCTTTATAAAGGAGTCCTGTCCAAGATTCACATGGAGAGAAAACTGAAATACTAATTATCAGGCTGGAAAAACAAGAAGAGTTTGAGTTGTGCTATTTACATTCCCATTCCTCTTTCCCAATAGAGCAACAAAGTCAACAAGCTAAGTGAAGACACAAGAATAGGCATTTGCAATTCAAGTTGTTTTGCAGCAAAAGGCCTAGGCAGCTCACATCCGTGCAATGACCGGCCAGAGTATTTTCTCTTTCTTCCCCTAAAAAAATACAGAAATTTCTCCCAGTGCCTTCCACTACGTTTTTCTTTCTTTTCTTTTCTTTTTTTTTTTCTTTTTTTTTTTTAATTCAGTCAAGTAAACCAGTCAACAGGTTGACCCTGTTGAGTACAGGGTGGAGACTGACTAATAATTCAGGTCAGATTTGAGGTGCATCTGTATGGATCAGGGTGCAACCAAAATTGTTCATCTGGGACTTTAAGCAACCTGATCTAGAGAAAGAAATCCCTGCTCATGGCAGGAAGGCTGGACTTAGATGTTCATTAAAGGTCCCTTCCAACCCAAACCAATGTATGATTGCTCTGCATTGCTGGTGCAGCTGTGTGAGGAGGATGTCAGTGTATGGAGTGTTTTTAGGTCTTCCAGAACTCATTTGTTTCCAAAAACCCCAAACTTTGTCATCTGTTCATTGGAATAGATGAAATTTCCTCTCTTTTACTTCTCATTTAGAGAAGGGAGAACTTAAAATATGCAACAAGAGGAATAAGGAAAGCAGGGAAAATGGCAGCCTGTTCTAGCTGTGTGCCTCAGGCAAAACTCAGAATGCTCCCAAATCACAAACCTTGTTCCAAATCAAACCGACATGAGCATTTCTCAGAGAAAAAACTGTCTAGTTTAGGTGACATCGGTGAGGAGGGTTAGGCTGTTAAAACCAACTGTTTTCTTAGATATAATCTTAAAAGGAGCTTAAAAATCCAGCTTGAGGTAGTTGCCTCTTTTGGAAAACTGCAACACAAGGAGCTAAAATTTAGCCGAGTTGTGTGCAATAGAGACCAGAACTGGATGCTGAAAGGTCCTGGGCAGGCTGTACCAGGCATACAGGAACATGATCTGTAACATACAGTATATATTATGTAAACATAGCATTTACTGTGATGTAAAGTGTAGCTGAGAGTATGTGATAGGTAGAGAGGGAACATTTAGCAGCTTTTGTAAGCAGAAATTGTAAATGGATGTTAAAGAACATGCTTCATGACTGCCATTTAGATTAGCTAGCCAGGCAGATAAATACTGCTGTAGAAAATGCTGTTTTTTTTTTTTGCTTTTTCCCCGAAAGCTATCACAACCCCGTATTACTCAACACCACAATTTTAAAAGAGAACCAAGTGCAAGGGACGCATTTCCCCCTCGTCCCCCTCCAATTCGGCAGCGTTGAAAAAGCACCTTTTAAACCAAACACGCGTGGGGACGATTCGCTCTTTCAGTAAGTGCTGCAAGGAACAACAACTCGGGGGGGTG